GTGGGAGAGCTGCAGAGCTCAGTGGCTCTTTCACAGAGCTCTTTCTGAGCTCTTTCACGGCTCGACCAATGGCCTGACAGCAAGTGATTCATTGATTGATTTCTCTGACGTCCAAACACATGATGTACAGGTTTCTGTGCTGCTAATAGCAACCCATTATTATTATATTTACTGAGAAAATCAGTAGGAGCCAGGAGAAGGGTTCGAACCGGAACACTGGGGACGACTCCCAAACCACTAGGCCATTGACCCATCACGTTAAAGGTGATTTCTACGTGAATTATTATTATCATTAAGAAATCCATCTAAGGCACCTGTATGTGATTCCTGTGTTGACAGCTGTATCTATCTCCACTCTTGACATGTTTATATATTTATCGTATTATCTGAACACCTGTCACGCCCTCTCATGTGCGCAGTTCTGTCACTCGACGTGTCTGTGAACACCTGTCTTGCCCCTCACGTGCGCAGTTCTGTCACTCGGCGTGTCTGTGTACACCTGTCCTGCCTCTCACGTGCGCAGTTCTGTCACTCGGCGTGTCTGTGAACATCTGTCCTGCCCTCTCACGTGCGCAGTTCTGTCACTCGGCGTGTCTGTGAACACCTGTCCTGCCCTGTCATGTGCGTAGTTCTGTCACTCGGCGTGTCTGTGAACATCTGTCCTGCCCTCTCACGTGCGCAGTTCTGTCACTCGGCGTGTCTGTGTACACCTGTCCTGCCTCTCACGTGCGCAGTTCTGTCACTCGGCGTGTCTGTGTACACCAGTCCTGCCTCTCACGTGCGCAGTTCTGTCACTCGACGTGTCTGTGAACACCTGTCTTGCCCCTCACGTGCGCAGTTCTGTCACTCGGCGTGTCTGTGTACACTTGTCCTGCCTCTCACGTGCGCAGTTATGTCACTCGGCGTGTCTGTGTACACCTGTCCTGCCTCTCACGTGCGCAGTTCTGTCACTCGACGTGTCTGTGAACACCTGTCTTGCCCCTCACGTGCGCAGTTCTGTCACTCGGCGTGTCTGTGTACACCTGTCCTGCCTCTCACGTGCGCAGTTCTGTCACTCGGCGTGTCTGTGAACATCTGTCCTGCCCTCTCACGTGCGCAGTTCTGTCACTCGGCGTGTCTGTGAACACCTGTCCTGCCCTGTCATGTGCGTAGTTCTGTCACTCGGCGTGTCTGTGAACATCTGTCCTGCCCTCTCACGTGCGCAGTTCTGTCACTCGGCGTGTCTGTGAACACCTGTCCTGCCCTGTCATGTGCGTAGTTCTGTCACTCGGCGTGTCTGTGAACACCTGTCCTGCCTCTCACGTGCGCAGTTCTGTCACTCGGCGTGTCTGTGAACACCTGTCCTGCCTCTCACGTGCGCAGTTCTGTCACTCGACGTGTCTGTGAACACCTGTCCTGCCCCTCACGTGCGCAGTTCTGTCACTTGGCGCGTCTGTGTACACCTGTCCTGCCCTCTCACATGCGCAAACTATGATAAAAGTATGTGGGTTATGTTGCATGTGTTCACGCTATTGCAACCGCATGTCTACTCTGGTAAACATACGCCTGCTATGCTAAGTATATACACGGTGTGACAAACGTACACACACACACACACATGCTGTGTTAAACGCACATGTGTGTGTGTGTGTCCTGTTGAATATACACCTGCTATGTTACAGGTACATATACACTATACTCAAGGCATTCTTGCTATACACGCACCCGTTATAACAACAGGTGAGGCGTCTTGGCACAACTCAGGAATAACCTTGTATAATGTGAATGTTCCACACTTAGAAAAAAAATCATATTTTCTCGTGAATTCTTGACATCAATCGTTCTAGATATCTGCAGGTGTTCTTTCCAGACCTGTGTCTCACCTCCGTTTATTCATTATTTATCGATCTAATTACTTACATTCATTGCTATTATAATGTCATTACCTTTTTATTCTGTTGGGAGTTTGTGCTTGAAGAACCTTTCGTACAAAGAGAACTTTGATGAGAGATCGATTGGTAGGAGAGTATTTTTAGGAGCCTGTGTGTGTGTGTCTGGGCTAAGGCCAAACATTATGATAATGCTACCGTTGGAAATAGCCTCGTCTGTGTTGGTGGTGCTTCCGAATAAACGGTTACACTTTCAATTCAATTTCTATCTCTATTTGGAGTTAAAGTGAGCGCCGCGTGCTGGTCTTCCACTCCATCCACATTCCTCCATGGTCGGGCGGGGGTCAGCCAGCCCTGCCCGAGCCGGACCCATTCCTGGGTACGAAGGGAGAGAGAGAGAGAGAGAGAGAGAGAGAGAGAGAGAGAGAGAGAGAGAGAGAGAGAGAGAGAGAGAGAGAGAGAGAGAGAGAGAGAGAGAGAGAGTAGACAGACAGATTAGGGTGAAGTATTTGCACAACCAGTACAACACAACGCTGGAGAACCTGGAGGAAAGGACGGACGCTGCTGTCATGGCGGGCCAGCGACCCTTCATATCCACAACCAGTAGCCTCATAAACCCCCAAGTGTTGCCCCTGTTACGCCACAGAGGCTGGCTGAGGAGGGACAGTGTGACAACGGTAACATCACGCGTCACTACCGCGGGCGTGACCCCCACTAACGTCACGCCCACACTCAATATATCACTCAATACCCACACATTCCCTCGGCAAAACGCCCAAGGAATCCCGCCCACTCCAGCGTTCCTATCATATTGGCAGAGTTGAGATGCGTCGCTATTTTAGCTCTGCGAAAGGCAGCTCTTATCAAAAAGATTAAAAACAATGCAGGCATTTCATTGTCTGACAAAAGCTTTCTACAGTGGGAATACGGCCCCCCCCCCTGGCGACCTCTAGAACCCCGGTGGCATCTTCCAGAACCCCGGTGGCATCTTCCAGAACCTCGGAGACTTCGGAGAACCCCTGGGACTTCGGAGAACCCCGGGGACTTCGGAGAACCCCTGGGACTTCGGAGAACCCCGGGGACTTCGGAGAACCCCGGGGACTTCGGAGAACCCCGGGGACTTCCCAGAACCCCTGGGACTTCGCAGAACCCCGGGGATTTGGGAGAACCCCGGTGGCATCATGACCCTGGCGGCGAGGGCGCCCCAGCTGCTGTACTTCGAGAATAACATTGGTTCATTTGCTTCTGAGGTTGAGATATTCCATGCTGGTGACGCCCCTTGTGTAGGAAAGGTTAACGATGGTTCAAGGCGGGTATAAATGGTCTGGACGTTTGGTCCGTGGTCCACGTGTGGGGAGTATACTGTAACTGTAACTGTACTGTAAGGAGGCCTGGTCGACGACCGGGCCGCGGGGACGCTAAGCCCCGGAAGCACCTCAACACCACGGGGGGGGGGGGGTCATATTTAGTGTACTGTAACACTCAGGATCTTCACATTTTTAAGAGAATAAAACGAAATTTTTAGGAAAATTTACGAAAAAATACTTCAATTATATACAAAGTTCGTCTATATCGGTCTGACGTGTTCAATAAGACATTTTCCCCAGTAAGGGGAGTTATAGGAAATGAAAAAGACTGATAAACATTAATATTTTACCCCCTGTTATATATATCCCCAAAACACGGGACAACAAGGTAATGCTACACTCTAAATGGCCAGAGTTGGAGTGCGTGTGTTGAAGTCAATAAGATCTGTACGCAACAACATTTTCCGCCCAAACACTTTACGGGGCACTAAGACAACAGCCAATACACAGGGGTACATTTCACATATTGGGTCATTTCCCTCCCCTTAAGGCGGCTCCAATAGTAACTGCTTCCCTGCACGGAACAGCCAGCTGCTGCTCCTCCTGCTGCTGCTGCTGCTGCTGCTGCTGCTGCTACTGCTCCTGCTGTTGCTGCTGCGCGAAGCTCTCCTGTGTACACGAGGGGGGTGAACTGTGTCCTTGGCTCTCGAGTGTACACCAGAGGAGTGTCTCAAGTCCTAGACTGTGGTGTCGACGAGACGGGGAGGAAGGTCTTTTGAGCACCTTCCTTCTTAACACGACATGATCCGAAACAAAGCACCGACGGCACAAGTTGCAGAGCCAGAAGAACGGTGCAACACAACACATTGAGCCCTATAGCAACACAACGAGAAGAATAAAGCCCAAACTGAGTCCTGTGAGCCCAACATTAATTTACCCTCTGATGCAGAACCAACTTTACGAGCGCCAGACCCGCGTATTGTACACAATATCCTCGGCGTTCTTAATGTTGCCAAAAACTTTAACGACTCTATTACGGTCATTAAGGAACAGCTTTGTTTAATAAAGTCATGAGCAGTTCCCTCGCATACATTGTTCTCTTCAGTGGGACTATCTCTGCTCCTCTTCAAACAACAGAAGCCGCCGGCAACAGGTTCGTAATTGACGTTCTTAGTTCGAGGCAGAAAACCTCCGGTCATAACCCAGTGTTATTCTCACCTAATTGTGCTTGCGGGGGACGAGTTCTGGCTCTTTGGTCCCGCCTCTCAACTCTCAATCAACTGGTGTACACATTCCTGTGAAGGTATTATTGTGTGAGCCCCTAGTTAATGTGTGAGTTAATGCTCTTATCACTGCCTTTACAATATTCATGAATTTCTGTTTCCATACAAACAAAACACTAAGTTTCACCAAACTGTCTAACAACTTCAATAAGATATCAATAATCTAAGCAACAATTGACACTATTTGTCAAATATTGATACTGTTCTTAAAAGATTTCCCCATTTTGCACCCGCAAGATAACGTAAGCTTTTAAGGGTTAATAAAAGTTAATCTTCTTGTTTGAGGAGCTGTTCACTTGAGACAGTTAAGCAAGTCCCAGCTGTGTCTGGGTACAAGTGACAGGATGAACAACCCAGCGGGTTTTCTTCCTATTGGGGAGTGTTGTACATGCTGCTATGACGGTGTGTCCACTCACGGGATGAGTGGCGCTGCCCAATAAACTCGCCCCTCGGGTCAAAATTTAAACAAATTTAATTGACTATACCGAGATTCTTTGGAAAACAAGCCTATTCTTGGCTGAGGATTCTCTTAACTCACTTACCTTTGCTGCTACCTTCAGCCTCCTCCCTGCACTCACCTGCAAGCAAGCAAGCAAGAGCGTTAACAATGCTGCACACTCATACCAACATTAGAAAAGGTGAAATCTTTGAGGTTTTCAAATTCAAAATGCAGCGTTCAGCAGGAAAATACAACAGAGGAACATACTGAAGTTTAGCTTGAAGTCATTTTGGGCGAGAACTTAATGTATTATAGAAGCCACTAAATCTTGAAGTGAAATTTGTGGTAGACCCATATAGCAACAAATCGATATAGCATCAAAATATATAATGTTCGGATTTTTATGTTAAAAAACAATTTCGGTAAAAACAGGATATTGAGGAAAAGGAATATCTGGAGATGGAAAACATGCTTCCTGATATAGCTTGTTACACAACTTAACAACATTCAAGATTTACTGCTGTCCAACAGAGGCAAACAAGGTATCGCCATCGACTGAAACAACGTTCAACATCACACGACACAAGTATGTATATTGAAACAAAAAAAAAACATCTCAAAAGGATGGAGTGGCTTAGGCTATTTCTAACCCCCCCCCCTCCTCCCACACACAACACTTTCCATGGTTAAATATAACAATGTCAGAGTTTTTGAATTTCAGTCCACTACGGGCTCACCATAGCCCGTGCTACTTGGAACTTTTTGTTCCAAGTAGCGAATCTTAAACAACAACAATTCCAACAAGAAGTTTGGGGTAAATTAAGACACGGCCCAGAGGAACATGGTTTATAGTGCTTAATGAGGTAAGAAGACCAGGGGCCAGATTCACGAAGCAGTTACGGAAGCACTTACGAAGCAGTTACGCAAGCACTTACGAAGCAGTTACGCAAGCACTTACGAACCAGTACATCTTTTCTCAATCTTTGACGGCTTTGTTTACAAATATTAAACAGTTAATGAGCTCCGAAGCACCAGGAGGCTGTTTATAACAATAACAACAGTTGACTGGGACGTTTTCATGCTTGTAAACTGTTTAATAAATGTAACCAAAGCCGTCAAAGGTTGAGGAAAGATGTACACGTTCGTAAGTGCTTGCGTAAGTGCTTCGTGAATCTGGCCCCTGGTCCCTGGTAGATCATCCTCGTAGTCACGTGGACATTTGAAGAACTAAGTTGATATAAGAACCCTTAATAACAAGACTCAGAGCCTTGTATAACATGAAGCACACGGCTTAATAACATTAACAAGTCCTACACAAATGCTGCAATGGACCGTAAATGCTGCAATGGAACGTAAATGCTGCAATGATACACAAATGCTACAATGAAACATAAATGCTACAATGATACACAAATGCTACAAAAATGCTACAATGAAACAAATGCTACAATGAAACACATGCTACAATGAAACAAATGCTACAATGAAACACAAATGCTACAATGAAAAACAAATGCTACAATGAAAGCTACACATGCTCACAAATACTAAAATCAATAAATAAATTTTACAATGATAAATAATAATACTTTATTAATATTCGATTAATAAAATACAGAAGATTAAACTACACAAATGCTGCAATGATTAACAAATGTTGCAACGAGAACAAAAATAAATTACACGTTCAGCAACAAATAACCAAACACTGTAACAGTTTCAATGCTAAATGCTTCTACTAGGCAACAAATTCTGCACCAGTATGCAAAACTTGCAATGATATACAGATGGGGCTTTGATACACAAATGTGCCAAAGGTCCGCTATCGGTGCAACGCAACACAACTATACGGTGATTTCACAGATGTTGAAAGAGTGAATACATTTTCCGTAGAGTGAGCGAGCTTGAGGGACTGTGCGACACAGTGGTTGCCAGGATCAGGTTGGGTTACCGTTACCTGTGGCAGGTGGCTGCAGGTGACGGATCTCCCAATCCTGAGCACTCCAGGTGCAAACTCTGTGAGCAGGAACTGCGGCATGATCTCCCACACTACATCACCGAATGCCCAGTTATCAGACCATTCAGACCCGTTGGCATGAGGTACCTGGAGCTTTGCAATTACTTTATTCACTCTCGTGTTGATGATATCCTCATAATACACCCGGAGTCTGCCAGTGCAGACTACTGATCACATGCCTCTGTATGACTAACCATCCTGTGTGATGGGAATTGTTAGCATCACGTAGCTAGTTTATTGACACTCTATACTCCCCTTCATATAGTCTAGGGCAGGTTATCTTGAGATGATTTCGGGGCTTTTTTAGTGTCCCCGCGGCCCGGTCCTCGACCAGGCCTTCACCCCCAGGAAGCAGCCCGTGACAGCTGACTAACTCCCAGGTACCTATTTACTACTAGGTAACAGGGGCATAGGGTGAAAGAAACTCTGCCCATTGTTTCTCGCCGGCGCCTGGGATCGAACCCAGGACCACAGGATCACAAGTCCAGCGTGCTGTCCGCTCGGCCGACCGGCTCCCTGCACAAATGCACATGTACCTAAATGTATTAATAATAATAAAAAAAATAGACACGACCGCGAGACGAGACGGTCAACACGTCACACACTTCAACATCTCGTCCTCTCTAGTGCTTCGTATATTTGACGCAATCGACCAATCCGTTATAATTGCGACGTATTAGTAACAATTAAAGCACCGTAATATTAACGTCTTCTACGCACCGGCCTCGATAGATAAGGTGGTTTCGTGGGTTCGTACGTATCAGGGAAGGCAAAATAGTTGCGCTTTTTACGCAGTGGCCAATGTAGAGACTGGGCAGCTTAATCAGGGGTATCCATGCCCCTCTTGGGAGGGGGGTCTGGGGAGTTAAATAATGGCGGGTATGGGCACATGTTGACACCTGTTGATCATAATGGTGCCTGATGGCACACAGATGGCACGGAAAGTCTGGCACCGGGGGTATGGTCACATGTTGGGTAGTCCACTGGCATCTGTAATCCTTAAATTATTAAGAACCTGGCACTATAGAGCCTGGCACTATAGAGCCTGGCACTAGAGCCTGGCACTATAGAGCCTGGCACTAGAGCCTGGCACTTTAGAGCCTGGCACTAGAGCCTGGCACTAGAGCCTGGCACTAGAGACTCGCACTAGAACCTGGCACATGAGCCTGGCACTAGAGACTGGCACTAGACTGGCACTAGAGACTGGCATTAGAGCCTGACACTACAGAGCCTGGCACTAGAGCCAGGCACTAGAGCCTGGCACTAGAGACTCGCACTAGAACCTGGCACATGAGCCTGGCACTAGAGACTGGCACTAGAGCCTGGCACTATAGAGCCTGGCACTAGAACCCGGCACTATAGAGCCTGGCACTCATGACACTCCTCTCCACCACAAGTAACACTTTTGTCTTAAGTAGAACATGTCCTTCCTAAGAGTTTTTAAGAGAGTGGATTGTCAAATAACGGAGCCCGTGACGTGTTCACTAACACTCACAGGCTGCCGTAGATTAGTTCCCATCACCAGCATGGGTTCAGGGATGATAAATCGTGCCTCACAGGCTTAATAGCCTGTGACCAAGCAACACAAATCAGGCAAGAAAGAGAAGGCTGGGCAGACTGCATTTTCTTGGATTGTCAGAAAACTTTATACATGAAACACAAACGCTAAAATGAATTTGTATCATTACTAATCTCCCGACCCCATAAATGGCTCGTACAAAAGTTGGAGAAACAGGCAGGAGTAAAGGTAAGGTGCTCCAGTGAATAAGGGAGTATCTAAGCAATAGGAAACAGCGAGTAACGGTGAGGGGGGAGACATCAGAGTGGCGAGATGTCACCAGCGGGGTTCCACAGGGCTCTGTACTTGGACCCATCCTGTTTCTGATATATGAAACGACCTCCAGAGGGTATAGACTCATTCCTCTCAATGGTTGCTGATGATGCAAAAATTACGAGAAGAATCAAGACAGAAGAAGACAGACAGAGACTACAGGACGACCTGGACAAACTGGAGGAATGGTCTAGAAAACGGCTACTAAAGTTTAACTCAGGAAAGTGTAAAATAATGAAATTAGATGAAGATAGCAGGAGGCTGAACATAAGGTACCATCTGGGAGGTGAAATCCTGCAAGAGTCGAATAGAGAGAAAGATCTGCGGGTTGATATCACACCGAACCTGTCGCCACAGGCCCACATCAAAAGGATATCATCAGCGGCATATGCTAGACTGGCCAACATAAGAACTGCCTTTAGAAACTTGTGTAAGGAATCGTTCAGGACCCTGTATACCACTTATGTCAAACCAATCCTGGAGTATGCAGCTCCAGCCTGGAGTCCATACCTGCTTAAACACACACAAGACAAAGTTAGAGAAGATTCAGAGGTATGCCACCAGACTAGTTCCAGAACTGAGAGGTATAAGCTACGAGGAAAGACTACGAGAGCGAAACCTCACGTCCCTGGAAGACAGAAGAGTAAGGGGAGACATGATAACCACCTACAAAATTTTAAGGGAGAATTGACAGGGCGGACAAAGACAAACTCTTTAGCACGGGTGGGACACGAACAAGGGGACACAGGTGGAAACTTAGTACCCAAATGAGCAACAGAGACATTAAAAATAATTTTTCAGTGTCAGAGTAGTTAACAGATGGAATGTATTAGGCAGTGATGTGGTGGAGGCTGACTCCATACACAGTTTCAAATGTAGATTTGATAGAGCCCAGTAGGCTCAGGAATCTGTACACCAGTTGATTGACAGTCGAGAGGTGGGACCAGAGAGCCAAAGCTCAACCCTCGCAAGCACAACGAGGTGAATACAATCACAGGGAGTTGATTTGATCTGGTTGTTACTCTGGTCTCAGTCTAATAGCAAATATTTACAACTCCACACTGGCGCTGCATACTCAAAGATGGGTCTCACGTTGCTTGCCGCGTTCCGAGTGACTCATACGTGATGTAAAGCATTAATTTTGACAGTCTTGTTTGTGTTTCCCGTAATATCCGGTGTGTGAGGGCCTCCAGCGGCTGACTTGGTGCTATAAAAAGGTGTTGCAAGTACGCCAAGGTCCTCTATTGTTTCACCTCTAGAACACCTCTACACCGAGGTGATACATTCTCTC